ATAATAAAGGTAGCTAAACCTTAAACCTTTACTTTGTGAGTCAACAATTCTTAATCCAAAATCAATAGTGAACTAAATCTTGAACTATGACCCAATTGAAAGATACAAGAATTGTATCCAACACATAATGATCCGAATGTTGAGTTTTTTCACACAGCTGGCGCATTATGGCCTTGCGCATAATTCCAGGTTTTCATGGGTGATCTAGAGAATTGCCCATCCAATTTTCATAGAAACGACCTTACTTTGACATCCACATAGGTGAAATTTGTCAAGGGTGCTCTCATAACTAAGACACCCCACTCTATGAGCTACAAATTTCATTAAGAGTATAAAACTCAACCCTCAATTCGTTATGGGATAGATGCATCCTCACTTTAGGAATGAGATCGAAAATTTTTTTTTGTTAAATATTGATGCATCTTTCAACAATGGACTTCTTTATGATTCATTTTTCCCATTCGAAACCCAATTCTTAGAATTCGGATTGGGTATCCTCATAGAAAGTTCTACAATATTGGGCTTGAATCCCATTCTCCTCAATGAGCACTAGACCTTGGACTGTAATTATAGATTTTCCTCCGACTTTTGTTTTTGCTAAAGGCCTAGTTGGTGGTATTGTGGGTAAAATAGATTCAACTCAGTCTCTTTTTCTCACTTTTTCACATCAACCCACATGTTTACTAGATCATGAAATTCACATTCATTTTTCTCAAATTTTCAATTCATGGTACCACAATTTTTTTTTTATATCAAATTGAGTTAGTGAACCACCATTTTCTTTCCATACATGTCAAAACATGTACTTAAGAATTTTTAACTCAAACACCATTATACCTTGTTGTACAATAGGAATGTCCATCACATACCCCTTTTCTCAAGTGCCTTATTATTTTTTCATCATACACCATTATACCATAATTATATAATAAGAATGCATATCACATTTATTTTGTTAAGCACCATTATACCTTATTGTATAATAGGAGTGCATATCACATTTGCTTTCTTAAGCACCATTACACCTTATTGTATAATAGAAATGCTATGCAAAATCCCAATTGGGCATCATTAGTCTCATCACCAATAATAATATATAGGGATATCACAATCCCCCATATTGGGAGTATCTCAAATATGTGATTATCACATTTCTCAAATAATTGAGTTCATGAAAAAACTCATTTTTCTCACAAGATTTTTATAAGAGCATATTTGCTCATCTCACATTTTATCGCCATAAATGGCTCATCAGCTATGCAAGCTTAAAAATTTAGCTTACATTTTCAAAATAAACTAACCCAAATTTGATGTTCATTTTTTACCAAAAAAAGTTGGATGGACCAAATCAGATGGCTCTCTGATTCTTAAAATTTTCACCTGTTTCACCAAATAACTCGATAACATGGTCAATTAAATACACATATTTATTCACCTCTTTTTTTTTCACTGAAAAATAATAATTACCAATTAATTATATATCAATGGAGCATATTAAAGCTCATAAATTACACAATAAAAAGCACTTCTAATTAGTAGAGCTTTTATATCCATAATTGGATTTTAAAATATATGGGAAAACTCAATATTATGGGAAAACTCCCACATTAATATGCATACATTTATCAATTAATATAACATTAATGCTAACCATAAGGTCCATAACCATTCATATAAATCTGATTAAGTAATAAATCACCATCAATAATCATCATGACAAATAAATTGCCTATAAATGGTCATGTATGTCTTTAAGCCAAATTAATCACATATATATATATATATATATGAATGCAAGTATAGGAGACGTTAAATTGCATGTAGAATGCATTAATTTTTTTCTTTTTTTAACCGTTGAGTATTAGTTATATCATGCAAGAAGAAGTATGACATTAATCACTATCATCAACTAGCAACATAAACCTTATAGATTGCTAGACATGCTTGCATGTATATTCAACAAAACTAAAGAATTCAATTCGTACCTGCTTAGAGCATATATATTCCAGAAAATCAAAATTTTTTATTTTGCTTACACAAAGCAGCACATGTTTCAATTTTGTTTGCCATGTTGAATCACCTGAAAATTATTGTTCTTCGAACACTCTTCTCCATCTCCACATCATGTCATTATTGTGTCTCAGTCACAAGATCAAATAAAATAATAATTAATGAACTTATCAAGAAATACTAATAAGAAAATATCATCTAAATAGGCGTGAAAAGCTTATTTACTTTGAAGCGATTCACGCCTCTGGAAAAAGTAGATCAACCGGTGCAGTAGAGATACATAAAGCATGTCACCCCTAGCATGCTACAGTTTTATAATAACACTCTATGGATCTGCACTACCCATAGAGTCACCTTACTCAAAACACCTTTCTTTAAATATTTAGAAAATAAAGTGAGGTAAGAAAGAATAGAGGAATGTGTAGAAAAACCCATTTTTAAGCAAAAGACATGTCCTATTTATAGGACTCATGGTCTTATAACTCTCATTTGTAGGTTAATGGTAGGAATAAATTGGGTAATTATTATAAAATAATGTGTCCTTAAATAGGACAATTAACTTCCAACGACTAGTTTGACCAAGTCCTGAATGGGACAATAAATTCAATTTATACTGTAATATCCCAAATTTTCGAGAATATTTAAGTGTAAGTTAAGGACTTGATTGTGAGAAAAGATTGTTTTGGGTCCTAATGTGAATACTCTAAAAGCTGAGGGACTTAAAGAGGGAAAGATTTTGGATAAGGATGACTTCTTTTCTTTTTCTTTTTCTTTCTTTCTTTTCTTCCCAGCCTTGCCCGATTCTGCTCTTCTTCTTCTTTCTTCTCGCTGCAGCTACTCGAAAGAAAAAGAAAGAGAACCCAACCATGCCTTTGAGAAATCAGTGAGATAAGCTTGGTTTTCTCCTTCTTTTCTTGTTCTAAAACCAGATTTGAGCCTTGAAATTCTCCCTCCCTTGCTGGAAAATCTGGATATGCCTTGCTCTGCTCCTCACCGTCCGGCTGCTCCTGCTTTGTGGGTGATTTCTGGGCATATTTTTCTGGTAAGAACAGCCCCTAATTCCTTTGTTCTTGCTTGAATTGCCCTGGGTTTACTTTAATTGCCCTGGGTTTACTTTAATTGCTCTTGTTCCTTCAATTTTGGGTAGACCCGTGAGCTCCCTGCAGCTTGCCGCCGGCTTCTCCCCCAGCCAAGCTCGGTTTTGCTTGCTAATTTTTGGTATGTGACAGCCATTTAAGGCTTAAATTATCCATTTAAAGTTGCTGCTTTGTGATGTCCGAATTTGGCTAAAAATGGGGAAATTTCGGTAGCAATTAAGAGGGATTTAAGTGTGTTTTGTTGCTTAATTCAAGTGGAATTTATATGATTGAGTGTTAATGGACTGCTATGTGATTTTTGGAGAAAATCCCGTGAGATTAGCTAGGGTTTTGGCCAATTTTGGAAGTGCAGTTACTGTTCACGGTACTGATCATGAGTACTGTTCACCGACACTGTTCACACACCGAGGGCCAACAATTAACGGGGATTTAAATGATTAGTTAGTGATATAAGAACGAATTTGGAGATATTTGATTATGTGGAGATTGATAGGAAATAGCATTGTGATTAGCAGTGATCCTAATGATGATTTCAGCTTGAATGTGTGATAGTCCAGTATTGATTCTCGGATGTTTTGATTAGGTTCCCGATCGTTCTGTCAGTTAGTGCGTGAATTGAGTGCTCGGTTTTATGCAAGTGAGGTAAGTAAATTATGGTAACGCCCTTTGATTTTAAAAGCATGTTTTGATTTGTTTTTGAAGTGATGGCGGGACTAAACCCGTTTCATACAGAAATGAGCATGATTGATTTGAAATGAGATTTTGATGCTTTTCATTAAATTGAGCATGCCTACTTGAAATTTGATTGATTGTCCTGATGATTTGAAAGTGATTGGTAAAGAATGATTTTCTGTAAACTTCTGCCTGTTTTGTCTCCGATATGGTTATGTTATTGATTGTAATCCTGCTAGTGGGGGTTAAACGCTAGCACATGTCAACATGTTATTGATAGAACCGGTTTGTTCAAGTGTAGCCTGCCAATGGGAAGTTTAATACACTGGCCATGACCTATAGAGGAGACGTCTATTTTGTGCCCGTACTGTATCTGTTTTCGTGATTGTACTTATTGGCATGCTTTAAGTTTGATAAGGGGCACTCCATATTTACTTACTGAGTTTATCTCATAGTTTTTCCTTGTCCACCATTTCAGGATGTGAAATCGAGGACGGGGAAACCACGGGAAGTGATGAGTTAGAAGGCTAGCCATATTGTAATTTGATATGAATTTTAGAAACAAATCATGATCTTGTATTTGGAGATTTATAATATCAGAGTAAATTTTAAAGATTTGATCTTCAGATTTTGATGGTATCAGAGTGTGATATGATAAGTTCCGAGTCTTGTGCATTTGTGGGACCTGTCTCACGAGTGTACGGCGTCTGTCACGTCCCCGGATTTGAGTTCTGGGGCATGACAGATTACAATGTATTATTTTATTTTTTATTAAAATATCTAAGTTCCAACACATGGTGTAATGAGGGAACTTGATATGTGATGAGAGATTTAATTTATTTTTTATATGAACTATGAAAATACAAAAATTCGTTACGTCTCTTACAAAATATTATATAATTTATGATATGTAAATTATAAGTAGAAAGTAAAGATTTTAATCTCATTAACTTACCTCTTTACACTACCAACAACACCAACAACTTAAATTATCAATAAATGAAAAAAAAAATTAAAAAGCAAGATTTGATTTCCCAATTAATTATTATTTTTTAGGCGTTTAGAATTGAGTTAAATAAAACAACTTCACCCATAAATTTAAGAGTTTAAACTAAACTTGGATTAGAAGACCCAATTCCAAATGGAAAGAGATTTTCTTGATTTCGAGACAGTTGTGGAGATTCTACACATATCTTATTTTTTTTAATCAAGGATATTATTTTTTTAGCTAATCAAGATTATTACATTTTAAAAGTTTACAATAAAAAAATAGGACATTTTCAATTCTATTATTTAAGAATTAATTAAATGTTAGTACTTAGTTAGCAGTCAGATTTCATTTGTGAACTCACTTAAATTGCTAACATGTCAAAAAAATTAAAATAATTATGACTTACAACTAATTTGGACAATATTGCAGAAGTATCGACACCACTATATAGGAGTCGACACTTATGTATCAAAATGGTGTATTCAAATTCTCCACATATGGTGTCAACATTAGAAAAGGTGATGTCAGCACCCAACCCGTGTCGAGGTTTGGGACCTTTTGCAATTTTTTAATGGTAAAATAGCACATTTGTGTTCTTCTTTTCCTACTTTATGAAGACTTTGGTACTTGAATTTTAAATTCATTCATTAGGTCCATGATTACAACCTTTCTTCTTGCAATTTAGTTCCTATTTTAAAAAATTTTCATTTACATCCAAAATTTTTTTTACATTCAAGATCTTTTTAACCGATAATAAAAATTATATAAAATTCAAGAAAAATTATAAATTAAGGTGTAAAATTTATAGGTTAGCTAAACTCAACAAAATACATTATATAGA